GGTCGGGTGCACCACTGCCCCAACACAAACACACAGTAAATAAATTAATGTTAAAAACAATCAACAGGCACTAGCAGACAGATAACAAAATATTTGTTTTATTACTGTAAAGTTAAAAATAGTAGACAAGCTTATCTAGTTACAGTTTCAAGGCAGTTACAAATATATAAATTATTGCATATAACAACCCAGATGACTAAATAAACTTTTCTGAAACAAACTTAGTTTTCACCACAGCAGTTTCATTTTCATTTTCTAAATGTCAGCACAATTGTTTAAAATAAACTTGTAACAGCAAAGATTAAAGTTCAATGACTACAGCATTTGCTAGTTGGATTTAAAGCTCCCTCCCTCCCTCCCTCTCTCTCTCTAACACACACACACAACACACACACACACACACACACACACACACACACACACAGAGTCACTACTGAACACTTTTTAAACCTCTTCTGGAAGGAGTAGGATGGGGAAAAGTAAAACACCACCAAAAGAAAACCAGCTACACTCACGAGGCAAATGTCAATGGTGCACTTTGAACAAATACATCTCCATGACACTTCTGCTTCACGTTGGTAAACTTGAAATTGGGGAAAATTATTAAATAATTGTAACAGAGACTCCTTCAAACTAAAAGTAATAGTGAAGGTATATTGTATAAACTAAGAGTTAACGATCCTGAAGTTCCAGACACACATGATCCCGGTCGCATAGAGGCAGATGCGGCCTGAGTTGCTGAGGTGAGGGCTGATGGAGGTGAAAGAAAGGAAATGCAAGGCCAAGTCCCATCCCTTTGAGCCCACTGTGAACTCCCCTTCCTCACAGAGTCCTCTTACTGCAGCTCATAAGCACTTCTGTACCCATCACCACAAAGAGTAACGTGGCAAGGGCATTTATTCAGGGCTCTGTCCTTTAGTGATTTTTTTTAAAACCAAATTTCCTCAAAAAAAAAAAAAATGTGGTCAAGGTAAAAATGGAATCAGACCAAAATCAAATCAAGTCTCTGCTTTAGAATCATATCTTAATAGAGGGCAAATAAAATTTTTTATATTTATGAACTTTTAAAATAGTGACACATCTTGCTTTAGCATGAACAATAGTAACATTTGTCAGTAAATGAACTGGCAAGAAAGTAAAAAAAAAGAAAGTTAAAGTAACAATATATTCTACCATTAAAGTATTTCACATACATGTAATTACTTTTCATGGTCACAAGTCTGAACCCTTTAAAAAGCCATAGAGATTCCTAGTTAAGTTTGAGCACACCTGTTTTGTGCTACACACAGTGTTAACAAGGAAAGCGGATTTCTCCTGAAAAGAAAGAAAAGAAAACCCAAAGTGGTAAACATTAATACAAATGGATCAGAATAATTGGTTTAAAAATTAACAAAAACCACCAAGATAGACATTATACAGACAATGGAAAAAGGTAAAAGCCATTTTCAGTAGCAGATATGATACAATACAAAACCAAGGAATCATACACTACCTATCAAATAACAACAGAATATATTTCCACTGTATTTCTGAAATCACTTGCCAACATGAACACATTTTGAGAAATAATCCTTAAGTGTTTATAAAAATGGGCACTTTATGGTGAAATGAACACGTAGCTTAGAAACCAATACTGCATCCAAGAATTACACAATAAGACAAATCGACTGCTTGGGCTTACCACTATGGTGTCTCAAGTGGATGCCTTTTCCACATAAGTAATTCAGAAACTAATACTAGAATCAAAGGAAAAGACTATAATCTAAAGAGAAACGTTACAAGGTGGGACAATACAAAAAAGTCCGGCCAGGCATGGCAGTGTATTTTGAGCCTTGGCATTTAGAAGGCTAAAACAGTCAGATAGATGCTAAGTTTGAGGCTAGCCTGGACAACATAATCAAACCCAAACCAAACCCTCTGTATATTTACTGTGGTAATGGGAATTAACCTCAGGGCCTGATATACTCCAGGCACATAAAAACACCAATCTTTAAAGACAAAAGTCATGCTAAAATCAAATTTGACTTCTGATTTTAAAACTCTTAATCAACTATGAAATCTAGTATGACAAAAATTTACCCCACTTCTCACACTCACAGAAGCTCTGAAACAGAAGGGTTCACTAGCAGTCTGTCTTCTGTTATTTTTAAAAAGTGAAATCACCGTGTGAGAGCTTCTTCTGAACTTTCTCAAAACACACTGACAACTATTTAGAAAGAACCAAATATAGAAACCAGTATTTGTGATAGTTCATAGCTCCCTAAATTGTAACTGAACTCTGTCCTCATCCTTATTTATGCATATATGATAATTGCATATTCAATCAAGAGAGCCTGTGAATCGAGGTACAGGATGTACACCTGAATCACAGCACCGTATCTCTCCCTGAGTCAGAACTGCCACCAATTCCAGGTCAGCCCAGCCCACTTAGAAAATTCTAGGCCAGCCATAGCTGTGTAACATGACCCTGTCTCCAAACAACCAACCAAAAATCCAGCAACAATACAAGCAACTACAAGGAACTTGTGGGTAAACAATATGAAATACTATACTGCAACAAAATTCACAAGAATGAGTCCTAGTGTTACTACCAGCACCAGGTATAGACTTAGGAGCACCATCCTTTGACATTTCAGGTGAAATATCTAAGTGAAATGAATTGGTTCGTGGGAAAATCCCAGCCAGTCAAAACTAAACTAAACGTTTGCCAGAAAACTCTTCAAAGAGTTCAGCAAACATTTTCTTTGGATAACACTGGTATTTAGGACTGCACCATATGTCTCCTATGACAGAAACACACTAAGTACTGCACACACCAAATACTAAGAATCCTAGACTCCCATGACTGCCCTGACTGCCTTTACACCACCAAGACAAAAGCCCAAATGTGTGCAATATGCTGGCTGCTAACATTCTTAATGAGTTATGGCAAGCAGGAGAACAGTCAAACATGAAAATGTAACCATAACGACGAAGCACTAAAATACTTCCTGGCATAATCAGGACACATCTTTCCCCAGCTTGTAAATGTAGACACTTCCATATTGCACACATTCACTGTAAAGCTTATCAAAACTAAGGCAATGCATTCATCTCTACTCTCCAGATTTTAAATTCATTTTGGATGACTCAAAACACTGAAACTAAATAGTATTTTTTCAAAAATTCCCTCCAAAATGCTTCAAAGTTAAGTTTTATTCAAGAAAAAGCAAAAATAATGGGGTATCAACTAACGAACAAACCCAGGTCAATTTAATATATCTTGGCATTAGGAAAAGGTGTTTTTGCTTTTTTTTTTTTTTAAGGGAAAACTTTTTTTTTTTTTTTTTTTTTTTTTTTTTTTGCTTAGGCAAATAGAATACCATTTGTGTTCAACATTAAAGTCTAGCACCAGTTAAAAACCATCTAGAGCCTGTCTTAATATTGGATTGGTCATAGCTTTTATTAGTTAAGAATCTAGAATCTAAGTAGCTTATATCTTTTTAAAAACAGGCTCATGTTATTGAGTGTTGATTTTTTTTTTTTTGATCCGTAATCTTCTCTCCCTTTAGATTTTAAAACTTGGAAAGGTCCTTTTTCTCTTTCCTTTTTTTTGGGGGGGGTTAATTTCAGTGATGCTGCTAGCAGAATTTGGACAGTTAGCAGGTCATTGGAATTGCATGTGAAGAGACACACATAATTTTATCCCCTGCCCCCCAAAAAACAAAACAACTAAGACAAGCACAGTGTGAGGCCAGGAGCTCCACTGCTCCACTGGACTCAGGGCTGAGAGATGATTTACTCTTCCCCCAAACAAGCACATCAGAGAAAGTCACAAGAGTTGAGAAGCAGAGTGGCCCTTCTACATTGATGGCGATGGACAACCAAGAAGCAGGATGGTATTTCCTTCCTAAGCTAATTCAGAACCGCTTCCCTTAGGAACCAGTAATGGGCTTTAGTTTCTCCGATACTTGCTTTAGAGAGTGATTAATCTCACTTTCATATGCTATTAGTATTTTAAACAGCTCAGCTAGGTAGACTGCTTCTCCAAATAATATCCAAAACATATTTATCTTTGGAAAGGAAGATAACAGTTATAAAAAAAACAGTGTGTCCCCAAAATGCCAGGATCTTCATATGGGGCAACATATTCACACACTGGAGTGCAAATCCACATGGCCATCCACACACACATTTACAAAGACAATGAAAAATACCCAAAATAGCAATTTGATATATAAAATTTTATATTAAAATATTGCTCATAAATAAGGTGATATTATGAATTCTACTTCCCTCTCAAAAATTATCTCTGGTAGTTCAGACTAACATAAGACCTCATTAGGCTTCTACTGTTCTGACAGCTGAGTTACAATGGAAAATGTCCAATAAAAACACACAGTAACAGTATTGGTAAAAGTTAGGGAGGGGCATTTAGTGACTATAAGAAAAAGTCCCCAAATGAAGCCAAATGATTAACCCTAGACTAGAGTGACCTTCTTTATTAGATTAAGATAATAGATATTATCTTAGGTTTTGCAAGTACAACAACCGTAAGAATGGACTATAACTTTCTTCAAATGTGTTCGAGGTACACATGCTTGGCAGACTAACAGAGGGTAAAAGTCAGACGCTACGTTCAGTTCAGTTGTTTATGGGCAGGTGTGACCTCGGTCCTGCCCGTCCCACTTGCAGGCATGGTAACTTGGAATAGTTCTTGAGGAGCTGCTCGATAGCAACATGGCGGACATGGAGCTCAGACGCCAAAGAGTCTTTCTCTTGGACTTGGTGTGTTAACTCTTCAAACACTTCTGTGGGGGATTTAAAAAGTAGTTTTAGTTTTAGTGCATGGACCACGTTTAACCCTAAGACTTCTATTTTAAGTAAATACGGACACAATGCATTGGGTAAATTTAAGAAGAAACTAACTGATGCCAAGGAAAACAGCGGGTTTTCTCCTAAGCTGATCAGTGTTGACCATCCTGCTACATTCCTTATAGATAACTGAGACGCCATCTCTTCTCCATCAAGGGCAAGCTTAGAAAGACTATATATATATAGTATACAGAGCACCGATAGCAGCCCCCACTCCAGCCCCTTCTCCATTATAACCCACTAATAGGTTCAGTCAGAATGGAATGACTTATCAGATAAAAACTCATTAACATCCAGGCCCAGAAACTCCCAGATGCTTGCAACAGGTTACCTGGATTTTAAAATCCTGGATCCTACAATCATATGTGTCTGTATGTGCTTTAGCTAAGTCATCAACTCCTACTTGAATTTCCTTTTATGGATAAATTCAACAGGAATGGCAAACTCTCCCAGCTGTGAGAGTTAAATGAGGTCCTACTTGTAAATATTTAAGGGACATAAACTGGGATTACTAGTGTTATTTTATTGTTTTCAGAGGCTCGTGTGCTTCAAGTTTTACAGTTAAGTCTGCTACTGACTGAGTGAATAATCTCTGCAAGCAACTTTAAAGGTCTCCGAAGTGCAACTAATTGCCTCACCTAAATGAGAAGGGCTGAAATAAAAGACAATGGGGATGTGACTAATATAGGTGTTGATGTCTATGATGATGCTAAAGAATTAGTAGTGTTTTGTGTTTTTTTTAAGAGCTGATAAGGAGTATGTAACTGATTGTTTTGTAAACAAAGCCCTGACATATTTATTGTCAGGGATCTCAAAATAATCCATGCAGGTGGTTTGGTGGGGCAAAAGGAATGTAAACAAGGGATAAGGAAAACACAGCTATATTTTAGTAACAGTTGAAGCTGATGACAACTGGCAGTGGTCACTACACTTATCTCACTATTTTCATGTGTTTCAAATGGTTCTAGTTTATATAGATAACCAGGGCTAATCCTACTGCCCTAAGAAATATCGGAACACATAACCCCAGAGTGCCTGACCCACCATGAAGTCAATGATGGCAAGAGGAGGGCTGTAGTCTCCACTCAAGATTATTTTTCCTGAAGGTCCCTTACTGTTTGCCTCAGAAACCTCAACAGGTCTGAATATCTTAATTTCCAAATTTACGCAATGTGGAAACTAACAATGTTCAATCAGGGGATATTTTGTAGGAGCATTTTTCACACAGAGGAAAAAGCATTGAACTGATTCTTTTACCCTGGATTTGCTGTTGGAGCTTTGTATTCAGTTGTTCTACTTCATCAAGAGTCATTGAATTCACTGAAACATGAAAATACATTCATCGTTACCACAGACAACCTAGGAAAGTATTGGTTCTTAAAGTGTACCAAATTCTAATCACAAAAGCCTCATAAGAAACAATTTTATATACCACTACCAGGAACACCTCCATCAGCCACAGGAAATAAGAGTTTGAAAAAAAAAAAAAAAAGCCAAAAGGAGCCTAGTCACTGCTGGCCTCTGGTAGCTCCTCTTTCACAGCCCATTCCCACTGACTCCGAGGAAGCTTTGGATAAGGCATGACCCCGGGTTTTAAAACACTAAAGCACTATGAAATGTCAATCTAGTAAAACAACCTTTACACAAAGAATCAAGAACTGGTCTAAAGATATAGTCAAGGTCCCTTTGGAGCTCAAATATTTTAAGCCAATTAAAATCATCCCAGTGAAATTTTGTAGAAAAGGTGCAAACAAAATATGCCATTTCAAATTTTAAAATCAATGTTCGTATTTACCTTCTACCCTTTAGTAAATGGCCAGATGTTGGTTTTTAAGTTGACCTTGTAGCCAATTAGTCTTATTAGGGGTTAGCAACATGACAATATATACTGGCCAATAGCTCGAATTACACAGTATGAACCCTGAACTTTCAATTCACTTTGCTAATTCCATTCTATTTGGTCACTAAAAGTGACAAAGTAAATGATGGTGCCAGGGAAATTCAGTATGCAATACATACTTAAGAACCTTCCAGAGAAGGTTTTTTTCTCCCCCCCACCCCGTTTGATATTTTTTTATTTAAATTAGAAAGAATCTTATTTTACATATCATTTCCAGAGAAGTTTTTAAGCCATCTTGCTTTTGCTGAGGTGAATCTGTCACTTAAATATTATGTTCATAAAAGCTATAATTTTGCATTTAAAACAGAGGGGGGAGGAAGAGAGAGGGAGGGAGGGGGAGAGAGAAAAAAAATCTAACCAACTGAAACCAACTACTACCCAACCCCCCAAAATGAACAAATCCCACAGTCTCCGCCTTCCTCCTCCTCCTTCCCACACTACTTACGTTCCTCTCTGCTATAACGTGGATTTTGGGTCTGGACATTCTCTGGACCAGAGCTCGTCTCTTCTTTTTTCTGTGCCTGGTTGTGTTTGTGAGGCCACAACGCATCTGAGTCTTGCAATATAGCAAGCCCAAAGTCTGTATTTTCCCTCTGCTCCAAAATTCTTTGTGTGTAGCTTGAGAGGCCACCGGTGCTCCCAGCTATCCCTTTCACAGAGTACTTTGGCACTTGAGAGTCAAACTGTGGGAGTAATTTCTTATCTGGTTTATGCCGGAAATTAAACAGGTGATGTCGGGTATTTTTGGAACACTCAGAATCCAAATCCATATCCTTATTTTGTGCATACTGTACAATCCAGTTTATCTTCTTAGTCAGGAGGGTTTTAACTCCTTCATAAGTACTTTTGGAAAGCTTGGATCGAGAACAATCCTGGTTTGCAATTAAATGATATTTTTCAAAGCAGTCTTTATGGCCCCGAAGTGATCTGGTATGTAAAAGATTAGACTTTGGTACTCCTAAAGCAAAAAGAAGACAGGATAAAAACTCAAAAAATACTCAGTTTTTTAATAAAACATCACTTTAAGTACAAAGGAATTACAGTGAATTCTTGACAGAACTCATTTGCAAATTAGAGGAAAATGTTAAAGGGTATTGATACCGATAACACAAAATGTAGCCTAATCTATGTCTCCATTTAGCTTTATACTCAAAATATTTTTATTCACTTACTGTATGTGTGCACTTGCATGTGTATATGTGTTCATACAGGCCAATGAATGTGTGGAAGCCCAAGGTCAACGAAGTGTGTCTCTCCTGGATGCTCTCCCCTGTATTTCTTGAGGCAGAGTCCTTACTGAACTTGAAACTCAATGGTCTTGTCAATGAGTCTCTGTGTCCATTTCTCTGCCTAGTTGGCCTGCATCCTAGGGACCAGAGTCCGGTCCCATGCTAACACAGTGGGAGCTTTACTTGACAGAGCCATAGCTCCAGCTCCACAGGAATATTTTTATGACTAGCAAAGACTTTGGAAAACTATGATTCAGTTCAGGTCTCAGTCCAGTGGCATAGTACATACAGTGTAACCACACACACTGCTGTTCCCAGCTGTCACTCATCTTCATGGAGTACGTACTTACAATGTTCGATTAAAAAATGCTCAAGGATTGGGGAAGGCCTCAGTGGACAGACTGAGTCTGGATTCTCAGAGCACACAGTGAACTCTGGCCTGAGTGAATAGAGATCCCAGGAGATAGCCAACATCAACCTCGGGTCTCCACACAGTGCACACGACTCTGCACACGAACACACAAACGAACATACACTACAAATCCGTCTACCCCAGAAAGGCGTTTTGCAACAAAACATACTTTAATCATATTCTTTAAGAAAATTGTTTTTAAAAAGGATATTATCAAATCCATACTCATTCTTCATTCCTCTTCTTCAATTCCTCCCCTATTCCTCCACCACTATTCCTACCCTGCCTCAAGCCTGCGAGTTACCCAGCCACTGGTTTTTGGTCCAGTGTATCAGCTTTGGTACCAGGCAAGAGTTTTGTCTGATAGAATTGGCCTTAAATCAAATCAGAAATGACTGGTTACTCCCGTAACATTGCTGCCACTATTGACCAGTGGGCATGTCTTGTCAGGCCAGCCATTATTCCCAGCTGGATAAGACTGTTTCTCCTCTAGAAGCATGCATAGTACCTTGCAGCACTATGATGACAGACAGTAGGGATGGAAGATACAGGTTGGGGCCAGATGGATACTGTTATATTCTATGACTCAACTCTGTGTCCTCTTTAGCAACATGGTCTTACCATCAAGTTTTGGAGGGTAACCAAGAGCAATGGCAATATCCTGTAATGTCTGAGGGTATGGGATTTCATTAACTAGTAGTTTTCTTGCTTGGAAGATATATACCAGAATCAGAACATATATAATATATATATGTTATATATAATATATATATATTATAAACATAAAAGCTTTTCAAATGCAATGAACTGTTTCAATTTATTTTGTAAGAAAATGTCTACACCTTCCCCAGTTTAATTTTGCAATTATTAACACTTATCAAGGTAATTTTATCTAGAAGAAATGAATTACACACAATTATTACTCATATAGCACATTAGCTGGTATAAATTCAATCATAAGTATTCATGACACACTATAAAAAAGAATATTTTGCCTATTCTTTTACAGCTCCCAGTTTTCTTAATGAAACTTTTAAAAATATAGTATACATTTTCAAATTCAAAACATTTTTCAAAATAGTCATACATTTTTTTATAATTCAAGACATTAAAGTCAAACAGTTCTCCTTCCATACTGAAGGTAAATCAGGCATGTAGAGTTTTAAATGAATGCCTGCCAGAATGATTCAGTCTAAATATGTGTGAAAACGGACTAAGGAAAGCCAGTGAGCTGCTAGGTTAAACAACAAAACAAAACAAAACTAAAAACCACATGTCAAGGGACATGAAAAGTTACATTCCTTCTTCCCTTTTAACTTTAAAAGCTCAGACTGTGATTTTATTAGGAATTGAAAGTCTGGTGAACAGTAAGATCATGTAAAATTTGTGTTTCAGCGGCATAAAGTAAGAGATAAAAATGTCATGCTGGCTAGCATCCCCGGGGGCTTGGTCAGCTTGCCCCAAATCTCATTCTGGGTGGCCTATCAGTTCTGAGCCCTGCGTGCATGCTCCATATAACCTACAACTTTTGCTCTGCGATGGTCCATAGGCTCCCAGAGTTCACCATGTCAAAATGAGATTCCTCTGCTTGCACTCTCAACACTTAAACTCCAGTCTCTCTGTGAGTGTGGGAACCACTGACCAGTCAAAGAAGAGGGTGGAGCAGTGCTCCTGAGCGCCCTCCTGCTCCATGCTCTGTCGTGGCCCGACATGTCTCAGCCCCAAACCACGGAAGCCATGAGGTTTGGCCTGAGTGGGGGAGTGTGGACTTGGAAATTCCTAGTAACCCAATGGTGATAAAGACCAAACATAGACATCTTATCATCTTCAGAGAGCTCTCAGTTCCATTCTGCAAAACTGGAGTCTCTTCTTTATTCAGCATCTTCCTGGCTGTTTCCTAACTGTGCTTTCTTCCATCTTGATAGACCCTATCAGCAGATATCTCTCAACCATCTCCCTTCCTGTAGACCAATACCTCCAAACTCTCTGTCCTCACTAGTCAGGTAGACTTGGCCCTCCACCTTGGTGCAGGCCTGTTCAGATGCTTAGTTCTGTAGAGATCAAACTAGGGGACTAAGCCATTCAACAGCAAATCAGCTAGCATCTGCAATTCAATGCAGGGCTGGAGATACTGACCTCGAGAAATTCCTAAGGGAATCAGTTCTCAGCTCCTGACAAAGCTCAGACCTTGGCTA